AGTTGTGTATGAGTGTAGATAATGATTAACTTGTTTTTGTCTTTTATTTATTTTTTTTTTTTGTCTTTTGTCTTTATTTTGAACATGTGTACATACACATAGTAATACACACAACATAAGTAACTTATTCTTCTCGTTTTTTTTTTATATATACATGTTCGAAAGGGAGTAGGAAGAAGCATCAGCTTATTTAATCCCACCCGTTTCTCGACACCAAATAACTAATAGTTATTTAATGTTGTCTGGTAGTTTCTGGCAAATTACTTTGCAACGTATTCGCATAAATGGCACGTGGTTCATCACGATCATGTCATAAATACAAACATTTTATGTTTAGGCACACACTTTTGGACCTTCTTCCTTGTATTTGGTTAACCTCATGAGTTGAAGCCTTTTTTAAACAGCATCATGTTTGGACATTGCCTCAATTCATCACTCATTCTGTTCCACAGGTTCTCACCGCACACACACACTCACACACACACACACACACACACACACACACACACACACACACACACACACACACACACACACACACACACACACACACACACACAGAGAGAGACACACTGAAAGTTTTTAATGTTGTTCGGACTGAACATGTTTGAATTTTAACTCCCCTCTGAATTGATACCTGCCCTCCCCTTTTATAAAACAGTTTTAATGTGTTGTCTGGAAGTAGTTTATTGTTTACTTTATGCATTAGCTGTGCTTTTTTAAACTGAACTATCTCTGGAAATTTTAAGATTTGTGATTTTTAAAATAATGAGTTTGTATGATCTCTGTAACCAGTGTTATGAATGATCCTTAGAGCCCTTTTTTGTAACACAGATAATGATGATAATGCACATTTATAGGTGTTTCCCCAAACCTCTGTACAGTCATTTAAATATGTGGAAATAAGTGAACAGTATCGAATGTGGAGTGACTTTTGGTCCAGAATGTGTTTGACTTAATTTAATATTGAGATGCTTCTTGAGATTTTATTGCTTATATGTTTAATGTGAGCTTTCCAGCTGATTCTATTGTCTATTATTACACCAAGAAATGTGATCTCCTTCACTCTTTCAATTCTCACACCATCAATTTGGATTCGTTCTTGTAAATTTAGGCTGCTGTTCCCAAACATGATTTTAGTTTTATTCAAGTTTAGTGATAATTTATTCAATTCAAACCATTTCTTTATGTTTTGTAGTTCTGAGTTGAGCGTATGTAGGAGTTCCTTGAAATTATCCCCAGAACAGAAAATATTTGTGTCATCTGCAAATAAAATTAACTTTAATGATTGTGACACCTGGCAGATGTCATTAATATAAAGAATGAACAGTTTTGGACCAAGCACTGACCCCTGGGGAACACCACAAACAATGTGCGATGACGGCATTTTGCTTGGTCAGAAGTTCGTTGATGTAGACGTTTGTTCCTTTCAGCTTCCTCCCTTGTTTAATCAGCTCCATTTTGTACTTTCTGTTGACGAATCTGAATATGACGGCAGACTGATTTCCTTAATTTTTCCGGGCAAGAGGATGGCAGGCCTCGATATTATTATCGTCCACCAGGATACCTTTGGTTTTGAGGAAGGAGACAACCTGTTCTTCCACGGAGCTGGAGGACTCCGCGCCGGGATCCTCCCCCTGTCAGCGGTCACCGCCTGAGCTTATGACCGGGGCTTGACAGCTGTCATCTCCTCCTACAAAAAGTCCAGCGACTTCTTAATATCATCCCCTTCCTCGGCTGTCAGGGCTTTTTTCGGTCCCATTATAAGAACGTATTTTCACGTATTTTACCGCACATGAACCGGCTGAGGATCTTGACTGAAACAACCTGCTGCTGCCAGACTCGGGCTCTGGTGAAGACCAGATTGTTAAATCAAACACATGATCATAAGATCTGCAATGGATATGAATGTAAGAGCAACATTAATTTCAACTTCATTGATTTAAGCCCAGATTATTCAAACATTTCATTTAAACATCTTGTTCATTCAACCATATGATTAATTAACTTGTAAGTTGTAAAGCCTTGTAGGATTTGTGTGGATTCACTTTTATTCAGAGTGAGGAATCCAGCAGTCTGACTTTTACGCAGAGAAAGATGAGGCTTTTGCGGGAGACCTTGACAGTTTGTTTAGTCTGCGTTGAGGAACGATAAGTGAGCAAAAGGTTGATTTGTGGGTCTGGATCCTCCAGCTGGTGTAATCTTGACTTTGCAACTCTGGCGTGACGGTGAATGAAAGGTTATGCTGTGTCAATTAAATGGTGAAAATTGATCCTTTTGATTCATAACAATTTCAAATTTTGGCTGAATTGCCTCAGTTAACCCATTTCTGACATTTTCATGAACTCCACACTGTAAAAAATTACCTGACTTATGCACTCGGGCATTTCTTAAACTCGTTCATGGTAGATCTTACACCCTGGCTTTCATCCTCTCTCTCTCTCTCTCTCTCTCTCTCTCTCTCTCTCTCTCTCTCTCTCTCTCTCTCTCTCTCTCTCTCTCTCTTCTCTCTCTCTCTCTCTCTCTCTCTCTCTCTCTCTCTCTCTCTCTCTTTCTCTCTAACACACACTCACACCCTGATATTGTCATCCTTTTCTTGTAAGTGATAGAACCTGAGGCAAGCAGCCTTGTTCAGAGTTAATTTGTGTTTGCTGGTTGATCCTTTGCCTCAAGGGGGTACAAGGTTGGTGCAAAGAAAGAAAAAACAATAATTGTATGTCCTCTTACATTTCTGCTAATGAATTTTGAGGGTTTAGATAATTTTATATTTGTCGTCTTTTAAGCGTCCTCTTTGTTTTGCTCATCTTGTGAGGACCTGAATCTCTACTCTGTCATGTTGTGGGACCTTTGTTTTCTTGAGAGAGGACACATACGTGCTCATAACACAAGTTCTGAGTTAAACACCTAGTAGTTGTGGCGGTGCTTGAAGTGAAAAGGAATAACTGCCGGTTGAGCTCTTTTGGCTAAACTGTGGGGGGTTTGTGGGCAGGCGCGCAGATAGGGTGGGGGACGGGGGGGTTCTGTCCCCCCCCAGATTCAGATCGACCCCGATCCGTCCCCCCAACTAAGGCCAAAAAGAAAACAAAATTGGAGGTTTAGCGCTTGAAGCTCCCTTTTCCTATTACACTGAATGCAGCATGACGTAAACAAACACCGACTCCAGAGGCGCCAAAGTAGTTGCTGCTAGGATGCAGGATGAAGTGAAAAAGGCAAGCAATGATTACTGCGTATTTAAAAAAGACCAACAGTGTAAGTAGGCGGGACCGATCTGTCTGTTTATGCAGGTTGGTTTTAGTTTCAGTACGTTGTTGTTGTCAGTGTTGGGACTTACTCGTTATAAACGCCAAAGCCTCATTGCTGACTTTAAGTCTCATCTACAAATATGATCCCTCATGAAGTTACTAGTTTACATCATAAGATAGTGGAGATGTGGAACCTTCAGGCTGAGCAAAGTTTTAGAGTTTTTAGAGTTTGAAAAACGCCTCCCGCCGAGACGCTCCCAGTCAGGGAGAGGAGGAGATGCGTGCAACATGAAGAGCGCAAATATTAGATAAAACCTATAATTGCCGGCAGGTCTGGTCTTTGCTGACTGATCACTTTGTCTGGTAATGACTGACTCCAATTATGAAGCAGATTACTGACTCTGATGAAGAAATTCACTCATCCAGCCGGGACGATTGATGCTGCTGCAGCATCAGACAGCTGGTGCTGCACGAGAGGTGTGTGGAGTTTACAAGCTCCAAACGTTGAGTTTGATGTTGGTTTAACCTTCTCTGGGACGTGATGGATGTAGAAATGAGGGTAAAACACTGCTAACGTGACAGATGTAGCGACAATGTAAAAAAAAAGCCTTAAAAAGGGGGCAGATGCCGATGCGTTATGCATGGAAGTCAAGTGTGCCACATAATCATAAAAAAAGTAAAATTTAAAAAGAGATTTATATTTATATATAAATAAAAACTTTCCAAATATAATGAACATTTCTAAATAACGTAAAAATATGAAGGAACATCTGTTGGTCAGACTGAAAAGTTTGGGAACTACTGCTCTAAGTGATAAGTAAATATTGTTTTTAAATATATTTTATATGCAGTTTTTTAGAGCTTTTGTTTTCTGTAAAGATTGGTATGCTGAAACTCATTTAATGTTTTGCATAAAGCATGAGGTTTTGGTTAGTAATTGATTGGGAGAATAACAAATGACTGACTTGGATAGTGTTGATCAGGCAGAGCTTTGTTGCCAGCGTTCTACTGCATAATGGCTTCAAACACGTATATAAAAGTGTTAGTTTTTTATAAACCATTGGATGAAATTACACAAACTGACTGAGCTCTAGTTAAGGCTCTTGCAATAGTATGTGTATGTGTGTGCGTGCGTGTGTGTATATGTTTGGGGGAGGGTACATTGGAACTTTGTCCCCCCCAGTTTGAAATTCTATCTGCGCCCCTGTCCGTGGGCAGCTGTTTGACTGAACACAGACTTTTGTCTCTGAATACGGAGATTGTGACTGATAGGAATTACTGGTATGCATCGTACACAAGAAAAGACTCCTGGCCCACTTAAATCTCTGAGTTGTGGATGCTGTTAAATTTGGGGGGGGGGGGGGGGGGTGCTAGGGTTACCCCCAATCCACACTAGAGGCATTGGCATTGCAAAAAGGCAGCAGAATGGTGCATCAATCCACACCGAGGGAGCGTCTGAAACGGGGAGTGGCTTCTCCTCCATCCTTCTTGCTGGACTCGCAAGATCACAAAATGTCAGGACTTCAAAGGTCACGGTTTGTTAATGCCATCCGCACTAAAACCAAAAAGGAGATCCCGTGTAATATTGCTACTCGATGTCATAAATAACGTGCCTCTCCACAGCCAGGATTTAAGCCATAGAAAACATAGCGTTGCACTTCTCGAAAGATGCTGGGATTAAATAAGGTGACGTAATAAATGTCGCCTTATTTGCATAGATATAAATAAATAAATAAATAAATAAATAGGAAACAACATTTTTGCTATAGTCTTTTATTTTGAAAATATTACTGGAAGTTTTACACTGATACCGTGTATCCTAAAGCTAGGATTGGGTTCTATTGCTGCTGCGAGCCGCTTCTAGGACATGCTGGAAATGGTCGGTTTGGATCAACCCATAGACTATAATGTTTTCTTCTTGATGCAGAGACGCTTCACTGCCGTTCTGCGCCTCTGATGCCCCCAGTGTGGATTGGGGGTTAGGGTTAGAACATGGCTTTATTTGTGTGTCTGAGAGAGCAGCACTACATAACACAAACAACTGTGTCCTTTTACAGTTATTTACAACACGTCCATTGCATTAATAAAGTAGTTGCTTTCATGACGGCTCTAAGTGCTAATGAGCTGATCAGAATGCATTCAGTTGGCTCAAAGAAATGGGGCTCTTTGATGTTCCACTGCCTGCTGGTTCCTCAGATAAAAAATGGCCAAAACACACTTTTTTTTTTTACCTTTTGTTAATTTTTTTTTATTCTACATAAATTCCCTTTTTGTTAAGAACAATTCCCATGCTGTTTAGCTTTTTTGTTTAGAAATATCTAGATTTGCACGTCATAGAAACGCTTTCATGTCCCACACTATACAGGGCAACTGGTCAACCCAACACGTCTGCGTTCAGAATGCTCAACTCATTGGTTTATTCTAAAATGTGAGGTGCATTCTTTGGTTCTTAAGCCTTCAGACACAGGAAATGTGCCGTCTAACTTCTTGGACACAAACCGTTGACCACAGTTCTCCAATGGGACGTGTGTGTATACTCCGTTTGAATGTGTCTGTTTATGTCTTTCGGTTGTGCAGCACATCCTCGAAATTCCTTCTCAGCATTTATTGTAATTTCTCTGCTGCAAATGTTTACATGAACCTTTCTTCAATACGTTTCCTTCTCTAAATGTTGTGACGGCAGGTCTAAACAGGATGCATGTCAGCTGTGATGTCGGTTTACATGAGCGGCGCACTCAGGTTGGTCAGCGCTTCACTGGAGTGATATCGGTGTTTGGACAAAGCAACAATCCAACATTATTTACAGACGTTCGAACAAATAAAGCTGCGTCTTGTCCTTCCTGCGGAGACGCTCGCTGTTGTGAAAACGGCACAGTTGAGTTACGGGCTTGGCGGTAGTTAGTTTCCACCACTCTGTGTGATCTGTTTCCTATTTGCCTCTCTGTCAACGTCTGCTCACCGTCACCCTCGTCTAGAAGAGGGGTTATTCGGTTTGTCAGCAGGACCTGTTTTGGGGGGGTAATCCATATCCTGGCGGGCAGATTTGAGATGAAAGGAAGTAGTTTCTCTGGTACCTATCCAAGCCCATATCTATCCTCCCTTGCCCTCTTTCATTCCTCTTCCTTCTCTCATTTCTCCTCTCTCCTCTCCCATGACCTCGGGGGAGTCCTCAGGAGGCACAGCGTTCCAAAACGAGATCACCCTCCACCACCTCTTTTTTCTCTCCTTCTCCTCTTTGGTCTCACTCAACTTCTTTTCTCAAATTAAGACAGAAAAGAATCCAAACCTCACTGGTGAGTGACTCACTCAAATAATTGTTGCTTTTAGTTGTATCAGGTTTCCCTGACTCCCTCCCGTTTCTCCCTTTATCCCGCTCCCACATGGTATTTGGGACACTCTGAATGAAAAGGAAGAAAAAGTTTGACATCATGGGACGAGAAGGTCGAGATCCTTTAATTTTCTGCGATTGCCGATATAAAGTCCTCCGTTTTGCAACTTTCTCTTTTGGTGTGCACACGTGATGAAACGTGTGTGTTATGTCCTCCAACGGGAGTGCGTCAGCTTATTTATAAAAGAATAACTAGAGACAAAGAAATCCCGTGTCTGTGACTTGAAGGGGGAAAAAAACCTAGAAGGACAAAAGAATCAAGCCGGCAAAAGAGAAGAGATTACAAAGAGAAGAAGTTGAAATACACAAGAAATGTGAGATGTATTGAGACAGTTTTGGCTAGAAAGGGGGGATTGAAGGACGAGCTCCCTCCCTCTATCCCATAGCTCTCTCTCGCTTCCCTCCTCCTCTGCTCCATGTCCCATGTGAGCAGCAGCCTGATGACTGGACCACTCTGACTCCACGCAGCATTGTTCTCCACTGCACACAACTTGTTGCATCGTTTTTCCAACCCGTAGTCCGTTTCAACTCTGCAGAAAGACTAACCGCGGAAAACATCTTTGGCCGAGCCCACCGGTAAGGACCGACATTTAAAATTTGGAGCTTTTCTAATTCATTTGCTCTCTCTCAAGCTTTGACTTCGGTAAATGTTGCGATAAAGATTTTTAAACAAGACAGTGAAAGGAACTTGGGCAAACTTGTGTGCTGAGTAAGCAAAGATATGCTCCAGCAGTGACTGCTCTTGTCTCTGACTGAATTGCTCAATTTCATTGCTGACTCACTCTATTAACCTAATTCTTGTGGCTCCATGCTTTATGGGCATGTGAACTCTACATGTGTTTGCCATTGGGATCAGTGTTCTCCATTCTTAGTGTGTAAATAAGCTAAATTCAGTTGCTTGTTTTAAATGATTTAGTCTAAAGACTAAGATTGAACCAAAAGAGCTGAAGAATGTGTAGTAACTGCTGCTCACTGTACTACCTCAGCTCTGCATAGATTCCAACATGTTTTCTTGCTGATTGAGAACAATAGCTTCAGAACAAGCCAAGGCCCCCTTAGAAATGAGCCAGACTGAAATCAGCACAAAATCTCCAGGAAGATGTTGTTCATTGATTTGATTTGTGTCACATAAACGCACAAACACACAACTGGACCCTGCCATCTATTGTTATTGCACATAATTGGGTAAAAGCCCTGTCCAAAGGCACGAGGAAGTCCGTTACCAAGGGGGATGTGGATTTTCTGTCTTCTCTCCTTTTTTCCTGTCCAGTTCCTCCCCTTCACATCTGGATCTCGCCACCAGCTGACAAGGAACAAGAGAGCGGATGGACGGAGAAGGGGGGGGGGGGGGGGGGTCTGAGAGGAGCATGGAAATTGGAGGAAGGGGAGTTTTCTCAGTCCACTTTTGGTAGACTTCCCTCTTTGCAGGAAGAGCTAACTTACAATGAGTGACTGTCTGCTTTAGAGGAAACACTGCATACATGTAAGGGAAACACCTCTTATGTTCTGTAAGAAACATTTGTACTGACCAGCACCTAGATGTAGAAGGCTTTCCATTTCGTTTTGTTCCTGTGTGTGTGCTTGTCTGTTAGCAAAGACACTCATGAGCCTCTTGATGACTCTCGAAATCAGAAGTCAGCCGTAGGTTGTTGATCTGCAAATCTGCAAAATTTGTAGTCAACTCGATTCAAGATAACAGTTTGAGCTAAACAACATAAAAACTAGCAATGGGACTCGATTTTAGAAAAAACGGTTAATCGTTCAAGAAAATTGGCCCCAAAGCAAGTTTTTAATTAAAAACAATGTAAGTGAGTCACAGATGACTTATCCAAACTAAAATGAGTGTATCTTTGTAACCACGAGGTCTGTTTGATTACTTTGGTCTCATTATAAAGGTAACCATTGAGGAATTTGTTGGGATGTGTAAATATTAGTATATGTACTATTGCTCAAGAGTATATGGACAATGTAAATGTTGCATACTGAACTGTGATTGGAGCATATAAAAAGGTTTATATGGTCTTGAAGCCCAGGCGCAGCTGTTTTTTTTTAAGATATTTGATATGATATATATATATATATATATATATATATATATATATATATATATATATATATATATATATATATATATATATACATACATATTAGGGCCATGACTCGATTAAACAATTTAATCTAATTAATTAGAGCTTTGTAAATAATTAATCTAAATGAATCGCATTTTTAGAGTGTTTCTGTTTTAACTTAAACTTCTGTTTTCAACTTTAAGACACGTTGTTTGTGATTGTTTACAGAGTAGTGAGAACACGGAGCGTTCTCCCAGCGGCAGCCGGGTGTCTCTCGTTTGTCTGACTACTTTCATAAACTACTGTTAGGGCAAATAATTACTCTGTCTGGTGCTTTCAGCGCTGCACAGATGTTACGTAAATGTTAAAAATATAGCTTACCGCAACTTTTGTAAAGTTCCCGTTGCCACCGGGCAGCCGCAGCAGAGACGATCTCTGAAAAATGTCCGCGACACGGACTCCGTTGTTGTCTGGAAGTTTTTTTTCCAAGTTAAGAAAAGAGGCGGACGGGTTTCCTAAATCCTGCATCAGTCCAAGCAAGGCAACTTCTTTCTGTTTTTATTCCGTTTTAGTAGCCATTAGCACTGTGCGTTGTTGTGTGCGTCAGTGATATTCGGTCTATGAGGACATCGTGCAATGACAAAGGTTCCGCCGTGCTCGAAATGCAAGCTGTGATTAAATGCATTAATTTTTTTTATGCATCATTTTTTTCTAATTAATTAATCATAAATAACGCGCCCGGCCCTAATAAATATATATATGGAATAAACTGTGATGCTAAAAATTTCATCCCCCAATTAGGGGTCACTCTGGATCAAGCATTAACTCTTTTAAAAAGTTATTTTTTTCGAATTACTTGACCATAATTAACGCGTTAACTTCCCGCCCCCAATACAAACACAGAAACGGCCATAGGCCAGTCCGTTTTACAGATGTTGAGCTAATGTTTGGTGCAGTAAAAGCTGAGAAAACATATATTTCAACTATAGAACATTTACAAATGTGCAGCATTCAGTGAGATTACATTGAAAGATTTGACTCCTCCACTTGAAAACAGGCCTGATGCAAGTGGCAAAGGCAGGAATAAACACACCCATTTCCTAATACAAAGCTCTAAATAAACAAATAAATGATCTCACTTGGATTGAATTTAGATTTTTTTTTTCTTCCTCCAAATTTCTCAGATTCATGTAACTGTTCATGCCAACTGTGCAGCAGTGCTGTGCCAGTACTCGTGTGCCTGTTTACTCATTTTGTGGCTGAACCAAAAGCCATGGCAACAGGTGTACATTGACGTCAATAATATGTAGCGAAGCCCGCAGCTATTTAGATACATGCGTGTGATTATTTTCAGGACTGGATGTCTCTCTTGATTTTGCTGTGGAGGTTTTAGCGAAGCTTGTATTTTCTGCAGATTTTGTGGGCTAGACAGTGATGCAACACAATCCTTGGGTTCTTCCACAGCCTCCAAAGAAAGCCATTTGACTGTGCAGTTTCTGCCATATGTGCTTCTCTGAATCAGCCTGTGCAGCTGGTCCATGTCTGCCTGCAACTTTCAGTTTATGTCTGGCGTTTAGCTAGGCATGCATCTTTGTGTTTAAAAGCTGGAAGGATGAAATGTTTTAATTCCAATGGCATGAGTGTAGTATTAGTGTTTTTGTCTTTGTGTGTGACATATTCCACGATTTGAGACAGAATCAGTGTCTTAAAGCCAATTTGGACATAGATCTTTATGTCGTGGCACGTTGTTGTAATGGTCTTATGTCAGCTAAGTCCGCAAGGCTTACACCACATCACTATGTCACTTAGAGTGAAAGCTGCACCCAGTGAGGTGGGGTCAGTTGGCACAGTCTGCAGCGTACAGTATTGTATTGTTTGCGTGCCAGTCAACAATTCAGAGTGGAGAACAGTGAAACATGTTCAGCTCAGTCAGAAAGCTCCAGATTGTTTTGGTCATGGCGATAAAATTCATTCAGCAGCCATGTCAGCACATTGTATACAACGATAAATCTCTGAGTGATGGAACCAGGGCAAGACATTGTCTGGCTGTGAGGGAACCACCACAGCTGGGTAAAATAGAGGTTGTGTGGATTGTTTACTTGGAGTTAATGACATCTTGTGACTGTAAATGTCTGCAAACAAGAGACAATCCTATCTTTAAAATACTAAATACACTTTTGTCAGTTTTAATAAATGGTGCTTTACCATTTGGACTATCTCTATCTGTGGATCTTGGAATATTTTATTTTATTTTATTGTATTGTATTTTTTTTAACGTGTCCTGTCTGGCTGTGAAGCAAACAGAATTGATGTCTGAATGCCGGTAACAAGCCTTACAGATTTACTCTCAGGTGGAGCATCAAAGCGTCTGCTTTTAATGTCACGCCTGATACTTAAAACTTTATTGTTATGGTTTTTGAATGCTTTGTAATTCCGACCAGACACGGAGACAAAAGATGGGGGGGGGGGGGGGGGGGGTGTCCACAAAGATAAACAATGATCAAGAGTCTGCTTCTAGACCTGCAGAAAGAGACAAGAAAAAAGGCAAAAAAATAACCCCAAAAAAAGGGACACAACAACAATACAACAAGAGCAAGCTATCACTGCGTCAACTTGATGATGAAATATATAATCACCATTGTTTAACTGAACAATCACACGATAATAAATCACAGTGCATTAAGTGCCAACCACAGCCTTAAGACATGTGTTGAACGTGCCCAAGTCCATACTTTTGAGAGCACCATGTGAGCACCTGTGTGTGTACACGCGCTTGTTTATGTAAGGTTTCTCTATAGGAGCGTCCAATAGAGTGTGAGGGACCACAGATCTGCCCCCTTAAGATGCGTAGGAGACGGGGGGAGCTCCAAGTCCCAGAGATCCAGGTGCTGCCCCAGAACACAGGAAACCCAAGGAGACTGCAACCAGAAAGGCCCCTGCCCCCCTCGAGAGGCACAGAGGATCGCCCCGTGGGGCCACAACCAGCAGCCGGCAGAGTCCCGGGAGATATCAGCGGCAAGCCCTCAGGCCCGCCCGCAGCCTCCCACCCCCTAGCCGGCCGAGCCCGGGACCCAGCGACCCGGGACCCTGGGGCGACCACCCCCGCCGGGGACCCAGCAGAGCCCAGGGACCCCGAGGTCTTAGCACACATCTTGGAATATTTTAGATGTGGAGCCATGGGTGCATGGGCAAGAATTGGACTGCACAATATAAAGGGATTTCTGATTATTATCAGTCATTCTGAGTTTTTCATGCAAGCTGAACATGACACAAGTCTCCTACACCTATCTCCTGCATTAGCTTCTGGTAAAAAATAGATAACGTTAAGCTAAAGTCCCTTTAGGCATTATCACACACTGGTGAAATTACATCTATTTGGTGGTTTAACCCAGTTTAACCCCTTAAAGCAGGGAGGTACTGGGTCCCATTTATAAAGTCTTTGGTATGATTTGAACCTCAAACTCCCAGTCCCAGGGCAAACACTCATCCCAATGGGCCACTGAGAAG